ATTTAGTCTGAAAGACAGTTTCTAGGTAGATGATGTTTTTAAATTAATATTCACAATTTTAGTGGAATTTTATGTAGTTACTTAAAATGCTATCGATTACTTCTAGTTTGAATTATATGAATATATTTTTTAAATTTTTGCAGCTGGTTTGCTTCAGATGATGTCATTGAATCTTCCAAAACTCCCCTCAACACAAAGTAAAATAACCACGGGGGCACCAATGAGTTCCTTGAGCACAGATGATCTGAATTACTTCTTTTGTGCCTAGAGATACAATAAATTACGTGTCTGGACATGCAGTCGTGGCAAATTCGAAAGCAATGAAAGGACTCAATCCCTGCTTCGCATCTGAATGTAGAAGTGCAATATTTATTACTATTTTGTGTTACGTATTGTGTTCAAAATGAAAATGTGCCAGAAGACAACTGTGTGCTTTCTTGCATTTTGAAAGAACGAATTTAAAAAGCATAATTTGCATAGTTCTGTATTTATTTATAAATAGATATATAGCCATTTTAAGAGGATCTCATAAATTAAGTAAACTAATAACCTTTCAGACATTTAATGCATTTATAGCTGGCATCCAATGTCGTGAGATTTAAGTTCCTAATTAATACATTTGAAAGTTTGCAAAATGAAATTAAATTTTTTTTCGACAGGAAACACTGCAAACGCCTTTCACAATTCTATGAATTTAGATTGCTTGACAAGCTAAAAGATGAGTGATAGCTCTTACTTAAAAATATTTAAGAAAATAAAATGAATTTAAAGTTTCCTTTGACATAAATTATTATGCTTTAGAAATTTCTAAATTTTTTATAATTATAAGTTGACAATGAAGTTTCAGATTGAGATATGTCAGCCAGAAGGTTAATAATGTGGTCATCTGTATACGTTTTTAATATAAAACATTTCCTGATCTCAAAATGCTTGGTTCCTTTAAAAAATTGTAATTGAATATTTACCTGAAAATATATTTAACTGAATATTAATGTAACGAACATTTAATTGAATATTTAAGATGAATATTGTTGTTGATTGAAAAAAAAATCTTATATTGCTATATACTTTTGTAAAATCTGTATTTTATTCAATGATTTCTTGCAATAAGCGTATACCGTGTACAAGATCATAAATCATACATGAAGATTTTTAATTACTATTAAACATTTTCGACATAATTGTCAACTTTAATATTCCTATCTCAACTTATCAGCAATATAATATCTCTAGATTTACTCAGTAGAAGGAAGCATTCTTGCTATATAAATAAGATAACATAGCATTTTCCAGTTGCCTTAAATTTTATAAATTGTTTGCTATTAAACTGATTTAAAGTTACTGTTAAATTGACTGTTTGTTATTAAATGACTGTTAATTTTTCACATATGTTTTCTTAATTGATATCCAACTTAGTCCAAAGTTGCAGAAAAATAATTTAATTTTTAAATTTAGATCACTATCATGTAAAACAAAATTACAAAAACTGCCAATAGTCTCATACGTTTGTTTATAAGCTATTTGTTCTTAATAAAGACCAGGAGCCATTAATGCTTTCTTTGGATGTTAACAATGTAAAAAACTGAAGACCTGAGAACAACTATTGGCTCAAATGAGTAACAGTTGCGAATAGAATAATACGAACATACTTCATTTTCTAATTTCAACAGTTATAAAAACATAGTTTATTTTTTAATTTTGACGATTTTAAGAACATACTATGTTCTGTTTATATTCTAGAAATATTACTATCAACATATATACAAAAAATTCAATGTAAAAGCGATTCTTCATAGAAAAGTAATTTACGTACTTATGAGAATTTTCTACAGCTTGCATTGGAAATAAAATCCCTGTAGTTCAATGCATTGTCTACTTGTTTCATGATGTACTTATTGACATTATTAGACTTTCCCTTCCTTTCCTACTCGCAGCAGTGATATTCATTTTTCACCTCTTCCATGTGCATGCATTGTTTACCGAAAGTAGATCGATTTAATATTCATCGTGAAAAGTAACGTTACCTGGTAAAACTGTAGATATCGAGGATCATAGTCTTCAGATAATATTACGTGCGCGAAAAATTTCTACAACATTTGCTCTACTATATAATGGTATCCGCTGCATGACAATTTGCACCATTTTGCTACATGTAAGAGTAGCAATCAATCTCCTGTTGTAAGAAAATAAACTGCCAGATAGTATCTTAGTGGATCTGAACGTCCAAAGCTGTTTCAAAGAACGGGGCCGATAACTCGTCCTCTTGTTATGCACAACATGTAAACGTTTTCGCAAAACACAGAAGACACTCGGTTGGTTTTTCAGAGCTCCATGTTTGTTAATGATTTCATCGAAGTTTATATGTCTGTGGCCGTGGTAACTTTGGATATGGATATATCTTCTTTGATGAAACCATGGCTCCTCTGTAAAAAATAGCTGGTTTAAAATGCAAATATCATCACAGATGAAACTTTTTTAAAATAGTTGCCAGAGATATGAAACATAATATAATATAACAAATTCTAATACCTTTCCCCCATGAAAGTCTCAACAAACTTCATTCTATATATTTCCGAAGAAATCAATCTCTTCCTCAGCCAAACTGGTTTATCACCCTCTTGCAATTAACGGAACAATAGAAGAATAAGTAGCTGCCCCTCCCTCAAAGTGCTTAAAATATGTTCCTTAAATCTACTGTTCACTTTGGACACTGAAAAAATTGTTTTGAAGTGGAATGTATTGAAAACTTGTTATTTTATATGCTTTAGACATACGAATTAAAGAAAACATTTGTTATGTAACAGATATTTACTGTCATGTAATTTTGGACTATACTCATTAGTAAAGTTTCTCTGTTTTCTTTTTAACCTTAAACTGTTGTTTACGTTATATAAGCTTTAATTTCTCTCATTTCTGAAGATCTTAATAAGCAGCATCATTATTAAATAATGAAAAGACTTCATTCGAAATAGCACAAATTCAGTTTACGTTTAAGTATTTGGAATTCTCATTAGAATTTTGTAGTATAGACTTTTATTAATACTTTTGATAGTTTCAAACAATAAACTTCATATATTAACAAAGCAACGACCTTGTGGTTTGACGTAGATTTATTGAAGAATTCACTCTTTTGTCCTGTCAATCTTCTATCGCCCCCCCCGTCCAGTAAGCTTCATGTATTTCGCATTCAGGAGATATAATTGATTGTTAAAATATTACCCTTTTTAAGTTTTGGTAAAATAACATAACATCTCGATTGCTGAAATATTAAAAAATTCATAACGTCAGCAAATTTATCTTATAATTTTGGGATAATTCGGGTACATTAGTTATCTACAACTCATACTAATATACCTTTCCTATATCAACTTCAATTTGTGAATTTTGAGTTTTGTTCACAGGTCTTCAATTTAATGAGGTGATATAAATTTATATGTTAAGGATGGAAATGCCAAATATTTATGCCATTTCATAATGTCAAGCATATTATGGTTTGCCAAACTGTTTTAAATAAAAGAAATGTTAACCATAGAACTGTAATAAAATAATAATGTCGCAAATATTTATTTTGTGTTTTAATGTTGTTGAATGTAAAGAATCAGTAGCGTTATAAAGAAAAACTATGATAATCAGGTATTATGTACAACTGATTTTGAGAAATGTAGTTATGTGATTTATACGATTTGTTATTCAGTATTATTTATTATGTTTGTTAACTGCAGGACAAAAAGGGGTTCATTTTTCTCTGATTTTAAGGTTATTTGATCCGGGGTCTTTATGTCTTTGAAAAGTGAAATAGTTATTTATTACAAGATTCCGTTTATTTCTTATAGGGCATAAAACTTACCACAAATGTACATTATTTGGAAAAATGAAATTATATTCCCAATATGTGAAGGTTATGTATCATTGTGAAAAGTATATAATAAAATTATTTCATGAAACAGTTCAGCTTATTTTATTGCTTCTAACATGAATTACCTCTAACTGGAAATTAAACACATAAGTGAAAACTTTAAAAATTAAGCAAAAAAGGCAACCTTCTACATCAAACTAAGAATGAATTTTTACCTAATCTCTCTCTATATATGTAAAGAATATAATCTATATATATAAAGAAGAAAGTCTGTGTGTTTGTTCGCTAATAATTCAGTCACTACTATAGCTATCGTCCCCAAACTTTCTACAATTCTTTTATGGATCCTGAAAAAGGTCGATGTTCACTTAAAAAAAAAAAAAAAAAAAAAAGCTAAAATTAGAGATATTAATTACAAACTCTATAAAACGCTAATTTTCGCCCTCATTTTTCCGTGTGACAACAGGGCTGATATTATCAATAATGGCAACAATGATAGATCAGCAACAATGGCTGCGTGCCATTGTTGCTGATATAATGAGAGATAATTAGTTAATTTTTTTATCGAAATTTTTAAGTGGGTATTGCTCAAAATATTTTTTATTTTTGCTGACCCAAATGGCAGTTCCATATGCCATATGGGTGTACTATATACCATATGATTCTATGATTACGTAGTCAGTTGTGGTACATGTATTGAATATTTCTTTCTTACTTTGGCATTTTTTATGCATTACAATGACTCATCATATTCTTTATGACGTGTATTATGTTGTTATATGAATTTTCCAATGATATCATGAGTAAAATAATACATTACTCTCAATCTACCTTAACTGGCATCGGGTACTTTCACTAGTTTAAAACATTTTGCATTGTATGTATTCACTACATTGATTTTAAAATGTTTGTGGCTTAAAAATGACTCAAAATATGAAAAATCATTTTTCAGCAATAGCATCAGCATCATTTTTAATTATTAAATTATGTTAAATATCTTTTCTTTTCAATTTTATGGAATACTCAATGAACATTTATGAAATTCGAGACTAGTTTGAAAAATACATTTTGTGTTCCCTTGTATTAATAAATTTTCGTTGTTATTTTAATCTACGTGAATTTCAAAATATTATTGGTTTTAATTGAAGAACCTATCCTCAAACAGGGTCAGCAAGACAGCTTGGGTTATTTTACATGCAGAGAATCTTAAACGGAATGCATTTACTGGCTCTTCTAGCAGGCATTTATCTCATGATATTTGTTGTTGAGCCAGTGGCTGTACCTCAACAGTATCTTGCTCAACATTATTATGGACTACCGTGGAGTGCACAAAGGAGGACTAACTTTCAGAAAGAACAAATGATGCATTTACCATTCATCAAGAACAATATTTATCAAGACTTTAGCAAAGGTCAACCACAAATCGATGTAAGTACATTCTAATATCAAGGTTAGCAGTACTGGTCGTATTGCGAATTCCAAATCATATGATTAAAAAATGATAGAATCGTAAAGTTACAGAGAAAAAACAGAAAAACTGAAAACAGGAGTAAAATTAAATTTTTCTTTTAATTTAAAAAATAACTTTATTTAGGAACTAGTTTTTTAATTAAAATATTTTATTAATGAACGTTATACGTTTGAATTTTTAAGTCTTGCAGCAAAACAAAGAGCAGCTAAAATCGTAAAGTATTTTCAAATGAATATTTAATTTTATTTTTAAATAAATTTAAGTGCTTTCATGACCAATCAATTCAATTTTAATGTCTTTTAAAATTTTAAAAGTATGTTATTAAATAAGCAGCTATGTTTTATCCAGTTAAACTGAACTGGAGTTTTAGATTCTGAATGGGTGTTAAGTATAAAAAAGCATGCAATAACGTAGCAGAAACTATCTCTACAACTGTAGTAGGACGTTTTTACACCAGGCATTTATTTCATTTTGAAAATCATAAAAAATATCTTCATTTCGCATACATAACGAATTTTAAAAATTTAAATTAAGGATTTTTTCAGCAACACCATTTTCTTTAGAGTTCAGTATCAAGATTTTTAAAATAAAGTGCTTTATAAACGCAAAATAATCAGAATTTGATTTTTGCTTTACTACATTTAGACTGTTTTCATAAATGAGCGAAAATCTACTGAAACTCAATGAAATTATTTACAAAAATTTTTATATTCCTGAAGATTTTTGTTTAATACTCTTTAAATTTTAATGCTCGCATGTTTTAAACGAATATACTTTTGCGCAGATACATCCAGCAAGAAATTTTGGCTCCTCTAATCTCACTCACAAAGTACAGATCCATTCATCCTCTGTAGCTCACAGACTAGATTCCAGCAGCCAAAATCCAAGGAGGAAATTATACTCACCTACACATATATCTCAAAGAAAACGTATCAAGAAAGTAATTCCCCTTCGGCACAGTTTGAATTCAACTGTCACATCAAACATAACTCAATCGAGCAAAGGTAACGGCAAAGTTCTTTGGAGACCCCTCAGATTGAACTTACAAAATAGTACAGAGACAAGAAGAAGCGAGAAGACGAAGATTTTTAACTCAGCTGGGAGCGCAACGTAAGTTAAATTTACATTATAAAGACGTTAAACTTCGTAAACTGACTAACCAAATTAATAATATCAGTATATATCGCTAACACGCATAATCAATAACACAAAATAACGTTAACTTAAACAGTTTAAGATGATTCGTCTTTTAAATTTTGAACTCGGAATGCAAACTTGGAAAAAGGGCAAAAGGAAAAGTAAAGGATGATATATTCAAAATGTTTCTGATCTTAAAATTTAAACATGTAATTATCCAAACAAAGCTCAACGCGCTCACAATTTAAACTTGCCATTACCTGAACAAGGGTAGAATGATGAATACACAAAAGCGTACCGAGATATAGTAATAGAAAGGATATTATTCGTTGATGTCTGCCAGAGCGGGTTAGCTTATTTAAATATAGCAAAGCACACAGAGCCTATCTGCTTAGGGAGATAATGGAAAGCTCCTTCACGAAGAGTTATCTAGGGAAACTGGCTCGCATTCAGGTTACACAGGGGAAAACCTGCCATTCCATTTGCCTGGACTCGAAGCCCGGTCAAACTACAAATATCCAGTGATCTTAACCACGCGGCTACTGGTCAGGCTCTGCCCGGGACAAAATTACCAGCCTTCATGGCTTTAGCCAATTAGCCACTAACGGCTCACTTTTAACGTAAAATATAACTTATTGTGAGAAAATATGGTGTAGAAACCAGAAACAGCAACAACAGCTGTTTAAAAATATCATTGAAAACGAAACCTTGAAAAATAACTAAAATTTAAAAATGCAAATCCTATTCATACAGTTTAAGCATTTTACTGGATATTTCAAAAAGTTTGTTTCAAAATGTTTGCGTGGCTAAACATCCCGTGAATTATTGATTCATTGCTCTAGTTAGCTGAATCATGTTTTCAAATGGCGGCAATTTTAGCAATATATCACTTTTTAGTAAATATATGTACGAAAGTTATATTTTGACAGTAGGCCCCCTTATTATAACCTCATGAAATTTTATTTATACTATAAGGTATTTTCTCCCTCCTTTTCGCATACCTTTGTGGTGTAACTGGAAGCATACTCGACGCATATTCGAGAGGTCCAGGGTTGGAGTCTCAGCGAGGGCATTGGACATTTTTCACGTCGCCAGCATAAAAAAAAAAAACCATGACTCTGCAATACATATAATGTTTAATGCTGGTACGCATATAACGTCTTCTAATACGAGTTTCTGAAATATACTTATTGCATCAGATACTTCTTCAATTAGAGATATGACATTCAAGCTCCCATTTATAAAAATTGGAAACTTTAAATTTTGTATCGCGCAAGCATATAAAAGTTATATGCAAGCATATAACTTTTATATGCTTCCTATATTACTGACACTTTTTGCATCGGTAGAAGGCTAATAATAATATTATGAGGGATGGATTAGGGCAATTTTGCATATTATGAGCACAGTTTTTTTTTCCTAAAAGATTCTTCGTATAGGAACATATAACTTCCTCTTTATATTTTACTTGTATAAAAACTTAAATTTTCTAGATATTACTACAATTTGTCACGTGATTAAAATTACCATACTTATTCTGTATATTTCTTGAACCGTAACCACTTATCTATGATCAATCATACAAGAACGTAGTATTCAGTTTTGTAATGTCTTTGAAATTTTTTTGTATTACAACATTTAGAAAATTTAATTTGTTATAAAGCTTGTTGCTGTTGTGACTTATCTCACTTGTTTGACAGTAACATCGAAACAAATTCATCGTGGCAAGGAGTGAGGGATTGCGCCTGTCGTTGGTAAGATATTGGAGCATCATTACAAGTTAAAACAGGTTATTGCTGAAAAAATGGTCAAGCAGGAAAGGGCTCATTTTAGTTCAATCTTTGACTAGCTAGATATGCATTGACCAAATTTTTAGTAGTTTACATTTTGTGGATTATAAAATCCATTGCATTATATAAACGTTTGAATTATCTGAAGCAGAACTTCATTTGTTTCACATAAGTAAAGTTGAATCAAGTAGTCATTAAATTCTGTAATCAGTCTTAACAAAAAATTTAGGAGCTATCACAAAATATTTCAGAATACATTTCTTGAAGCTATATTCCTCCTTGGCAAAATATTATGTACTTAAATCTTCTAAAAAAAAAAATGTAACTTTGAGTGGAATGAATTTTAACAAGTTGTGGGAAGTCTGTCTTTTTTTTTTTTTATGTCGATTTAGTCTAATGTTGTATTTAATGGTACCTTTATATTTCACAGGACTGTGCAATTATCGAAAATTCTTCATTAAAGCAGAGAAATCGCACCAGATGACTGCACTGTAGCTGAAAGGAAACAGATGTAAAGAGAGTTCTTCAAGGCTTGGAGCTGCGGATGCTCCAAAGTACAAAACATTTGCCATACCCACAAGTACAGTCAAACTTCTCAACTGTAATACTTAAATTGCATATGCGACGAATTTCAGTTATAATACAGAAAATGAATGAATGTACATGTATGCAATAACTAAAAATCGCAATCGCATTGAGTTACACACACACATACACACACACACGCAAAAGAAGTCGCGATGAAGAGAATAAGTTTTAAAATTTAAATCATTTTAAACATTTAAAAACATATTTGGAAATCAAATATTTCTGTAATTCAGTATCAAATACATATCATATATTAAAAATAAGATCTTAAATTTACATTTACGTGAAAAATAATGAAATGCCTGTAGCCGGGAAATTCTCTTACAGGTCTTTTAATTTAAAAATCGAACTTTTCCGAAGGGATTAGTCCCTCAAAATTTCAATTTATACTGCATGATCGTTCAAGTAAATTCAGACACTGCCTTTATACATTACAAGCATGCATCCTTTATATTTTTTAAATGTTTGTAGACACTACCAGACTTTTTAACAAGTATGGTAAAACCTAAAGATTCAACAGTAGCTATTTGAATCACATATCAACAATTCATGTAAATCTAAGGTAGAAAGAGTTGGTATATTTATTTGAATGTATCCATACGAAGCTAATACGAATTTATAAACATTCTTAAAGCTTGTTACCCATCTAGTACCTAAACCACTGCTTGTAACATGTTAACCCCGCTAGTCAATTTCATGCATCTAAGAAGGGAGTCTCTGATACGTTAAGAATTTTTATTAACAGATCTATGTTGGCATTAATACTGAATCTCACATGGTGACTGTGATACTTTCACTAATTTCAAACGTTAACTGTGATTTTTATGTAGTGATTAAGATATATTTACATACCTTAGTTTAGTCTTGTTGTATGTAACATATTTTTATTTATTTTTACATAATAAATTTGTTTATAAAATGAAAATTTATGTAATTGTATTTTTACATATAATAAAAAATGTTTCAATTTATCAAAATGTCTACGTGCATAACTGTTATCTGCAGTTAGTTAATAACATTCATCCTCAATATAACAAAATTCAAGGAATAATTTGGGAAGGAATAATATGGGCAGTGTAGAATTGAGTTTGTGCTCCGCTGTATGTTTTTCGGATTTACTACGAAAACAACAAGTTCATGCTTAAGTTTTGTACACTAGTTGTAATCTGCATTCTGGTGAAGATTGACTGGAAACGAGAAACAAAAAAAGAATTAAAATAAACAATAATTGTTTAGTTAAATATGTGATATTTGCTTCGTTAAAGGTTTCTCATTTCGATAAAGAAGTACGTTTCCCTTGCGAACGAATTCACTGTCAGATTCCATCTGGCATTTGATCTTTATCTTTAAATTTGAATTTTAAATATAGTGCCTGAGAATCCGAATATACGATCAATAAAATGTTCCAGTCGTCAAAATGCTCAGACGTTCGTAAGCATTAATGCATAGTTTTCATTAAACTTAAGCATAGATTCTGAGCCCATTAAACGCGACCAGCCTTACAGCAAGCAGTAGCTCTGAAATAAAACTGTAGCATGGTTTGAAGCAGATTGACGTAAATTTCTTAAATTAATTTCACGCATAATAATTTCAAAATACTTAGGAACTACGCATCATGTGCTAATCAGCAAGTGACAAATAATTCCACTTCTGCCAAGTAATTATTAGTCGTGATGCTATTTTTGAAATAAATACTGGCTATGAGGATAGCAGAAATACCTACAGCGCGCCTTTGTGATATACATTCAATCTCACACAGAGTCACTATGAATGTATGCATTTATAACTCGCTCAACAAAAATCATGCATATGATGGTACAGTTCATATCTAATGAGTTAATTAAATAGCTCTAGGCTTGGTGTGATTTCTGCGTATTAGCTCTCATTTTAGTTGCACACGTTAAACTAAACTATAGGGCTTTAAGCAAAAATTATAAGTGAGTTGGCATTTCATTTTAAAGCAAACATTACATGTTTTCACGCTGTCTAGCTCAACTCGTTTTTATTCTTTCTAGTTTTTTTTTTATTCTTTCTAGTCTAAACTAAGAGAAACTTTCTAGTTTTCAAACCGTTGCTTGATACTTCATTACAAAAGTTTGCTATATTATTATAAAAATTATAAGGATAGTGATTTGCATATGGATAGTGATTTGCATAAAATGTATCTGAAAATTATTTGAAAAATTTTATATGATTCAGCTTAATGTTTGATGAATTATATTCATTCTTGGCTGGACATTTTGTTCGCTTTTTGCTGCCGTAAAAGTATTTCCGAAAGAACATATAAAGCAGCACTTCCAGACCCAACTTACTGCATCATTCCGAAAGAACATACAAAGCAACAATTCCAGACCAAACTTATTGCATCAATATAAAAATGCTCTTGATATGAACAAAATGCCACCTAAGAGATTTAGAAACATTTCAACTGACTGACGGAATTCCTGCAATGCTAGGTAAAAATGAAAGTTTCATGTATCTTATAAATTATGGTCTTATAAATACCTCGTCATTGTATAAATGCTTCATCGACGGCTTATAATAGTTAATAAACTTTTCCTTTTTCCAGATTAGTCCCTTTAAACTCAGTTTCGAACCAGAAAATTATTTAGGAGTCAAAACAAGCTGAAACCCGTTTAGCGTGTAGTGAAAAGTTTACAGTTTATGCATCGGAAGAACATCGTGCTCTGAATACAACTCAAAAGTAATAACAAATATTTATTCATACATATCACTGAACAACATATGGAATAAAATATATCACTGAAAAAGCTGATAACCATTATGAATTTATTTGAAAACTTTCAATTCAAAAACTGCTTTAAAATTATCAGAATGACAAATATCCTGGATGACTATAAGGTAAATAATAAAATAGAAATAATAGTTTAATCTTCATATTAAGTAACTGATTTGTATTTATTTTCATTTTATGCTTAAAAAACTTCAAATAAAATGTTTAAATTTTTTCGACTTGATTTCAGAATAACAGAAGTGTTAATAATAATTCTTTAAGAAAACCAATATATCTTATTAACAAATCTGCGACAGTGAATTATAAATCTAGACTCTAATGTCGTCATTGTTAGATAAATCTAACATAATTTTCGATTCGGTGCCCATTTAAAAAATTTTCACACAGAAAAACTTATTTCTTTATATTCTGTCTTTCATTAGCAGTAGATGGTGTCTTCTTTCGGTAACGAAAGGTGAGTGTATTCGAAGCCAGGTGTTTAGCATCTTTCAAAATTCCTTGCACCAAAAATTCATATAAAGAATAAAAATCCATGTAACAAATACTGGAAAAAATATTGCAATTTTCGAGACAAACAAATCAAATTGCAAAGCCACAAAAAAAAAAAAAAAAAACAGATTTTAATTTTTCACACAGCAGAACATAATACTACTGATATGAATAAAAATTACTAAAATGTATCTGAAAATTATTTGAAAAATTTTATATGATTCAGCTTAATGTTTGATGAATTATATTCATTCTTGGCTGGACATTTTGTTCGCTTTTTGCTGCCGTAAAAGTATTTCCGAAAGAACATATAAAGCAGCACTTCCAGACCTAACTTACTGCATCAATATAAAAATGCTCTTCATATGAACAAAATGCCACCTAAGAGATTTAGAAACATTTCAACTGACTGACGGAATTCCTGCAATGCTAGGTAAAAATGAAAGTTTCATGTATCTTATAAATTATGGTCTTATAAATACCTCTTCATTGTATAAATCACCACGAACAACTCGTACCTAAATGTTAAAAAAAAATAATAAATAAATAAATAGTGATTAAGATTCTGCGCATAGTAAATTACTAGTTGCGAAACAGGATGCAAAATAGATGAAATAATGGAGTGTAAAATAAACGTTAAAACGATAGCACTTTAATAGTGAAGAAAATACGTCTACATGGCGATTATATTTATTTATTTATTTATTTATTGTTACACATTTCACTCAAAGAACACAGTAGCAATAATTTTAAAGAATGAAACGCAACATGCTCTTTACCATGACAACCATAAATGAATAATGAAGAGTTAGCGCCATCTATTGTCGTCAAGACACTTGAAATTCGCTTGGAAAAAACCAAAAACTAAAACATAATCCCCGGCCTTTTGAAGCCTTCGAAAGGTTCAAAAAAGACAAAACAGTTGAACTACACAGAATGAACACTAATAAAAATTAATTAAAAAATTCATAAAATTACAGTTCGGTGATAAGAGGAAAGTCATTTGTTCACAGTTCATATTTAGTCATTAGTAGAAATAGGACACAAGTTAGTCACTGCTCTTTTAAAATCACCAGCGGCTGTACAGACCGTAACCACTCGAACTCTTTTGCGCTGTCTGGATGAATTAGGATAATTCTTCCAGTTTTTCCATTGGTTTGGAGGCAATTGTTCGTTTTTGATCAGAACTAAGTCACCACATTTGGAGACGCCTTAAACCACTTAGCACCATGATGTTCAAGAGCTGACAAATACCCAAATACTCTGAACACCATCGTTTTAAAAAATGTTGCACAGTTTGTTGAATTAGAGACCAACGTTTAAGTCTGAAAGATTTAACATCCCTCACGTCAGATTCAGGAATAGTAAACAAAGGGGCCTCAAACAGAAAATGACCTGCAGTCAATGCACTATGCTTGTTTGGATCACTTGACATCGCACATACAGGATGGGAGTTCATACACTGTAAGCACTGTTAAAAATTCTTCGTAAGTTAGAAGTGTGGGTCCGAAGACTCGTTTAAGATGAAATTTCATTGACTTCACATTAGGTTACTACAAGCCACCGATGTGAGGGGATGTCGGAGGATTAAATAACCAAGTTATACCTTGTTGGGGAAATATAAATACGTATCTCATGACTTTTCTCGATACAAGCTGCACTTTTATATACATCTCTTTCAGTTCCTTAGTAGAGAATTTGAAGTTAGTCGCACAGTCCCTTGAAATTTGGATCATTTGCAGCTGAAATAAGTTCCGTATGTTTTCTTTTCTGTGTAGCATGCTGCTGTAGGTCAATAACTTCGATCTGGATTTCAGTTGGGTAACAACGTTTTGCAGAGAAATTGAATTATTATATTTATTGTAATGTGTTTATGTGTGTATCTATGGAAGGAGTTGATGCAGGCGATATTACTATTTTTTCCAATCTTTAACTGAATAAATTTTCGCGTGCTAATGTTAAAACTCCGCGTTTGGCCATCCCTGGTATAATAGTTTAGATTTTGTAAAATTAAAACCGATTTCTTAAAATTTAAAGATGCCAAAATATGAATCTTTGTCATTTAAAACATTTTTATAGCTGGAAGTATATGTCTATGACCAAAAGTATATGTTTATGGTTGCAAAAATACAAGCCGAAAAAAACCTTTTGTAGATATAGTGTATAGTTCCGATAGTATCCAACAGATGTCAGCACTAATTGAAATATTATAGTTTTTAGGAATTGGCGAACAATATATAGAAGGAATAGGAAAATTAAATTCATTAGCACTTACATTTAATATAAATTAAAGAGCTTTTTTAATAAGATTTGATTTATACAAAATATTAAAATGAATTAAAATTTATATAGAGAAATTTCTCTGAAAAAGGAATTAAAATTTATGTACAGAGGTCCCTCTCAAGAAATATTTATGAAATAATGTCGAAATAGCTTACCATATTATTTAAAAAATTATCTTGTAGATGGCAGCACTAAAGAAAACAAGATTTGGCCAATATTTTCGCCGATATTACATCTTTTGGGAAGGAGAGAATCATTCTCAGAATATATTTTTGAGAGCGAGCATAACTGGCGCCCGGGGCAAAATACTTTTTGGCGCCCTCCCCGAAAAGAGACAATAATATAACGTATAGAATATATTCGTCATAAGAAAAAATGCAATTAATAAAATCCTGAATCTGCCATAAAATAGCCTAAAATATATTAAAATCAGTCACTACCTAACTACACTAACATTGGATTCGGAAATATATCTGTGTCGGCGGAAAAATCAGACATTCGATTATATAGAATTAATTTAAAAGGTATTTATTTATTAATTTTACATATTTATATAATTGTTTTTAAAAAAGTACAATTTTTAAACAATTAAAAAGCTTAATATAATATAACTAGTAGATATATTTATTAATAATAATATAATATAATACATTAACATAATTAATTACTACGTATGCATTTTTCTTGCCTTGGATAAAGTAAATCTATCAATTACTTCATCAAAGTCTTATTTCAAATTTTCCTTTTTCCACATTTAAAAATAATTGATTACTTAGGGGATCTTGTCCCATCGTTGACTGTAAATACGTCAAAGTTTATTTTAATTTGCTGAACGAACGTTCATACCTAGCATTTGATAATGAATTGAAGTGCGATTTATAGGTTTGGAAAAACATTTTCTCCATACGTTATTATAAAGGTACGATCTGTAATGGACTTTTAAAGTCAGTTTCTTTTCTACTACGGAATAACATCTTACAGTCCCATACACTGCTCAAAACAATTAGGGAACATTGCGAGTTCGGCATGAAATAACCATATAATCGACAACCTTTTTTTTAACAAAAGGAAATACAAGAGATTATAAAGGAAAATTATAACGTTTACACAGTTGGGAATATGCAAATTTAGTCTGTGACGTCAGAAACTATGTGTTTTAGATAAGGAATAAGGAGCGACCTGCAGCATTCCTTTTGTAGTAGGAGATTAAAAACAATTGACACGCGTTGAAGGCTTTGTAGCAGTGAATATAAGATGTCTCAGCAAGATGACTTAGTTGAATCGGTAGCGAGGAAGGCCATCATTGTAGCGGAAGCGTTCGAAGTTTCCCACAATGTTATTTCCAGACTATGAAATCTGTTTTTGGAAACTGGATATGTTTGAAAAATTCGGGACAAGGTCGTGTTATTGTTTTAAAATATAAAGCGGGAGCTATACGTGCATTTCGTTTCAAGAAAATAAAAATATATCTCTATTTTAGAGAAATTAAAATTGGTGAGAAAGAACGTTTGCATGAAGAGATATTTGGTTGATGTACTGCAAAGATTTTATTACACATTTTAAATAATAAATCAATAATGAAAAATAAATAATTAATTATATTACAAGAATGATTAATTTTAAATATATTTCCCAGAAATCGATAAAAATAAAAATTCAAATTTTCCGCAAAATCTTGTTTGGAGACCATTTGGCGCCCCTCTGCGACCGACGCCGAGGGCATCATACACCCCCTTGTCCCCTCTTCGCTACGTCCCTGAAAATGCAAAAGAATTTATTCTTTTTCTTTCGAAAGAATTTATATGCATGTGAGTACTTTTAGGAGAGGAAAAAATGTTGTTTGGAAAGATTTCATAAGATATATGTCATGCAGTCTTGTTTTACAAGTTATCTGAACACTTTATTTATTTTTTTTTTTTGAAGCCACGTCATTAATTAATGACGCAGAAAAAACAAGCCACATAATAAAAACTAGAGTACTCTGTTTAAAATACCTTAAATCAGGTAAGAATTGATATACCTGTATAACCAATATTCAGCTATAAGATATTTCCTGAAAGCTTACTTCTGAAATTTAATTCATATGCATGTATACGTACACACACAACATATAGATACTTACGAAAAATCCCGTCGACCGCAAGAGACGGCGCTAATCGCGCCAAAACAAAAACTAATGTTTTACTTGTTAATAAATTCAAGAAAAAACGTTCTATTCTTATTTTTGTTTCAAATTTATTATATTATCATTTATTTAGATTTAATTTTTCATTAAAAATTTCCGCTATTTTTTATTAAGGAGATATACTGTAAAAGTAATTATTTTCGCTATGTTTTCCCTCGAACCACGTTCCCTTTCGAATTGACACTCGGGCTTCCAACAAGCCTTAACGTTGCAATGCCATTGCTTCTCAGTTTCTAAATAAAGCGCCATTAACACATTTTTTGTGAGGCTTGCAAGATCCCATAACTTTGAAAATATTCAACAGCATGCTCAAAACGCGTGATAGAGGAAAAAAAGTAGTCAATAATAATAACTAACACGTGTAATCAAGGTTACACCAAAACCAGCGTATATGAAGAGAACTTTTCCATTTTTGGCGAAAAATCCCGCATCTTTTCTTTAATATACAAAAATTGTCCATGGGATTTTCAAACAAAATCCCATTGACCTAGTACCGAAATAAGTATATATATATATATATCCTCTCCAAAAATATTTCGAAACTCAAGGGTTATTGACGGATGGCCTTAACGCAATAAAATTAAAATATCGAAACAAAAGCATTCAAATTCAGATTAGTCCCAAAACAGAGTCTCAAAGTTAATAACCCCTTATAACTTATTTAAGACTCAATTATTTCTATATATTTATATTTTAAATTAGTAAGTTAAGATATTTAGCAAGAGTTTAGTTTTACAAAATACAGAGTTGAATTTTTCTGGATTAATAGCACAGCCCGTGTTAACTTAAGGGGAGGGGATGACTAAAGATTACAGAGAGTTAAAACGGCAAATTTAATTTTTGCGAGCTCTTAATTTTTTAGAATTTAAACGGGAAAATTAAGACTTTCATAACTCTGACGGCATATTTCATTTTAATTTCTTGATTTTCTCAAGCTCAAATAAATGAAAATCTCAAAAATGTAAATTTAAAATTTGTCCTCTCCAGAAAAGCATTACTCCAATTCAAAAGAAAGCTCAGTTAGCCGGAAAATTCTTTTGAAAATTCTTTATTCTTTAAAACACGAATTTAAAATATTTCTTGCACAAAAATAGACTCTTGAATTTTTATATGAACATACAACTGAAAATACTTACATGAATATAAACAGAATTTACATTTCAACTAATGCTAAAAAAAATCACTTTAAAAACAACGGTTTCGGATCAAATGCAATAATTTTAATAAAACCATCCGAAATGATCTGTGGTAGCTTATCAGATGTGAAACTTATTTTTACCCGTCTTGAGAGTAAAACTGTAGATTTTTTTCATCGGAGTTTTAAGCTTTTGAATCGGCACCAACTATAACAGTACTCATTTCCCCCCCTTTATTCTTAGTTTAAAAGTACTATCAAGTGCATTTTTCTTTGCAAGAAGCCTCCTTGTTCTTAAACTACTTCAAGCTTCAGTATCAGAATGATAAGACCTTAGAGATTGTCCAAGATTCCGTTTCACGTCTACTTCGGAATCTGATATATCTTTTCGATTCTTAACTTCTGCTTTTCTAAACGTTTCAGAATAGAGTTTTATTTTGGTAATTTTTCTTTTTGGAATAGCTTCTTTTTTCGAAGCTTTTTTCATATTATTTACTTCCCTGGAAGCTGTCTTGTTCTTATTCGCATCAGAGTCGAGTCTAGCATCAAGAGCTTTGCCTTTTGGAGCAACAGGATTTTTTTTAGGAACTTTGATAGGTTTCTTCCCCTTTTCAGACTCTTCTGCTTCGAGTTTTCCACTTATTGTGCCTTTTACCGTAACAGGATTTTTTGTAGAAATTTTTGTACTTCTTGCCTTTTCAAGCGAGTCTTTTTTGAGCTTTTCAACTGTCATGCCTTTCATATTAGCCGAATCTTTCGTAGACGCTTTGGTACTCTTTGCTTTTACTTTATCAGACACTACTGCTTTGAGATTTTTAGGCATTCTTTCTGTTAAGGGAACAGAATCTTTCTTGGAAGCTTTGGTACTTTTCGGTTTTACTTTTCCAGAAACTTCTGGCTTTGCTTTGCCAACCATCCTGCGAGAAATTTCCATTTCAGTGTCGGAAACGTTTAAACGCTTTTTTTTAGTTCTTGGTTTGTTAAGGGTTATTTCTGGGTCAGAAGCATGCATTTCTGGAAGACGTTTTTTTATAAAGTTTGTTTTTGAATTCTTGATCTCTTGTTTGCGAGGTAAAGCAAAAGATCCAACCGCGCCATGACAGTTTTTTGATGCCTTAGATCTTACTAGCTTACCATTCTCCAGAGCTTTCTTCACAGCAATTTTCATTAAGCCCGAAATTCTGTCTTCATTCACCTCAGAATTATTCGCTGAAAAGGAAAAAATGATGTATAACAATTAAAATTTATCTTTTTCTAATCATCTCAAAATACTGGTAAAATTCTCAACGCCAAAATAAAAAAAGTAACACACAATCATTATGCATTACACATATGAATGCTTCGGCACTCAAGTTTTTTTCTGCGTTTCTCACTTTTTATTCATTTGCGCATTATAATATCCGCTATTGTGGATAACTTTCCTTGAATTTTAATTATTCGAAATTCACTTGCTGGTTTATTTTGATATGAAAGGAAAAGTTTCTTGAGCTTCCATGCTTTATATTTTGTCAGAAGACTCATTAAAGTTACACTTGCGGAGCATATTAAATTTAAATGTCAATAATCTACATACAAATCATCTGTAGTGTGAACAGGAATTTCAAGAGATTTAGATTTCGTGTTTAAATTAACTAGGAGTTTAAGAAATCATGCCCGAGTGCCTACGTTACACTTAAAGTATAAAACTAATTTCAAGGGGAAAAAAACTTACCAAGAATCCACTTTTTAATGGCTTGGAATGAAACACCTTTCTTTGGGTCAGCTGTAATTAAAATATCATAATGAACGATCATGCTTTTCCCCTAATAATTACATATATAAAAAGCATATTAATGTAAACAAAGTATTTTTAAAAAATTAGATTAAGACTGTTATTCGGGTTTAAAATAATTAGATGTGAATACGATAAAACACAGGAAGAATGTCTGTCTGGATGGATTCGCAGAAGGCGAAGGAAAAAGGACTGGTATTTCACGTTACGTGGAGAAATGACGAAAATTATGCAGCCTAAGCCTGTTCGTCGGGATATGAATCCAAGTCGAAATACCAAGATTAAGCGATTTTCCACTCTTCGGTGATGTGCCTTTGATGGCTGAAGCCAATGGTAATAGTGCATGATGTTCCACTCAGTATTTAAGAAGGATCATCCAGAGATTCAGTAAGAGGATATCCCCCTCATTATCTCTAGATTCTAGATTTTATATTAATGAAAGATATTTTAAAAATTTTGAAAAGGAAGGATATCGAAGAACTAGTTTACATTCTAGACACGGAAAAGCGATCTCGTACAGAACTCTTGTGCAAAAAGCTTAAGCCTCTACATTCATTTAGCACTGAATACTGAGAGAGTATTTCAAAGCACAAAGTGCATTAAGAATTTAGGAATTCATTCCGAGATTCTGAGGTAGCGTGAAATGTATCACATGGATTAATTCATTGATATTCCATTCTTCAATTTACAAGAAAATGACTCGTTCTTTAATTCCCCCTGCCCACTCCCATTCTGCTTTGCAAGTTCTGAAATAAGTATTTTGTTAAATTTCTCACAGTAATTCATTTCATTATGGATAGCATCCGTAACGAAGTTTGATATTGTTTACGAAAACTGAGACACTTCAGATACTACGCAAACTTTATCCAGCTGGAGACGCGATCATCAAGGAGTTAGAACAATAATCTGCAACCGAATTTAAAATTTAATTTGAGAAAATTGAATGTTTCTTAAATTTTCAATAATTATAAAAAGAACGGTACTATTCGGTTTTGAGGGCCGTAGAAAATTACCAAAGTATTCTTGATGCCAGTGCTGCCAAAAATAATTGCGGCAACCCTAACGCAAGAAAGGAAGTATAATAGTAAATAACTATCTACGATTGATGTTTTAATATAGAATGAAAGTTTAATTTCATATAATAGATTTTATTATTATAATTTATATAAAAAAGTCTAAACATGTTTGAATGGAAGCATAAGAGTAAATAACTATTTCAGATGATTATTATAATTTATATGAAAATTGCTAAACATAACTGAATGAATGCTTGCATCACTATTTCGCTACCGAGTTATCGCTAAAGCATAATTTCATATCGTTGGTTGTTCAAACATAATTTCTATAATGAATGATGCCTTTTGTTTGAAAAAATTCTCGGTAGAGTGCAGAATCGCTCACTTATTTGTTTGCCGCTTTTTACAAAGGTTAAAATCAATTGTATTTTTGTCAATTTTCTTTAACTAACTAATTAAATTAGCCGCGTAAAAGTAATTTTCCTCCTCTATTCTAAAAATAGTAATCTCTCTGCACTGCATCATTTCGAGATTAATTCATGTCATATGGGATTTGGATTATTCAATTATGGCAAAGCACACGAGGGCTATCTGCCTAAAGGGAGGGATGCCTTCGCGGAGGACTTTCTAAGGGAAACTGGCTCGTATACACGTTACACATGGGGAAAACCACGAGAACGCCCATGCAGCCAGCCCGTTCCCGGGATTCGAACCTCGGACCGAACTACCAGTGTTCAGCGTCTTTACCGCTCGGCCGCTGGTGGGCCATTTTAAGTGAAAATAGGTCGATGTGTACATAGACAAAGGGTGTGAGCAGTGGCATTTTTGTGCAATTCTGGGATTTTTTTTTTTGAAGCTAAAATAGGTCGATGTGTACATGGATACCGAGTATGTGCAATTCTTAAAAACGCGTCAAGCAGTGGGTGATTCTGCACTTTACACAAAATTCTATTGCAGACTTTTGTCGTGGGCAATTCCCAAATTGTTAAATCCATAGGATATCAAAAAAGGATTTAAAAATTAAACTGGTATTTGAATGGCGTCTTAAGAAATATAGGACTATATAAACTTACGCAATCTGAAATCAGCGCGTACGCTAGATTTGGCCCGCTGTTAAATGGGCGCGTTTGCTAGATTTGGAGCTTCTGCGCATGCATTTTCGCGCATTTTTTTCTCCTCAAAGGATAGCCAAAGATTTTTGCTAGACTCCTTGCAAATCTTCAAATTGGCAATTATTTACCATATTTATACAGATGAGAGTAGATGCACACCTTCCAATTCATCGTCACTGAATGCATCTCATTTGCATTAGCAAACATGACGGCCTTTCAATTTGGAACTTTGGAACTTTGCGGTTATACTGGCTTTCAGCAGGAAATTAAAGTCCTGCTCTTGCCAGTTCCTGATGTGATCCCATGTGGGGCCTGACAGAGTAGAAACCTGAAAGAAATTTTCTCTCGTGGAGGTAGAAGTGTGCTGGAGAGAGAAAGAGAAAAAGAAGCACTTTGCTCCTGTACTGCTACATCTTGGATGGAATCCGCCAAGCAGGGGCCGGAGAAAGAAACTTCGGATGACCTGTGTAGGATAGCCCGAATACTAACTGTTCATTCGTCGGAGCCAGTCACGTGGGAGGTCACCCTCCCAGAAACTGACCCCGATCGATGCTGCTTGAAAACCAGAAAACTGGAACTTAGAATTCTGAACTCAAGAGGTGGGCGGCAAATGGGCGGAGGTTTTTGTCTTCAGCCAGGATTTCGTAGATAAGAATGTCCGTGAAATTAGCGGGATTCACATTGATAATATTATTAAAAAAGTTGTTGTTTATTCTGCTGAGGTAGTCCTGAATAGTATCTATTTTCAAGTCGGAGTGGAGAGTCCTATTCCGAACATAGTAAGGAGCTTTTGTGATGATTCTTAGCACCTTATTTTGAAGCACTTGGAGTTTGCTAATTTCGTTTGCTTTGTAGTTTGCCCAGGCTGGGGAAGCATACGTGAGAATGGGTCGGATTACAGTTTCATAAATCCTCTTTTTCAGTCTGAGGGTGAGGTTTTCATTCTTTAGGAGAGGAAAAAGCCTGAAAATGATCCCGTGTGCTTTTCCGCTTACTCTAAGCATATGATCCTTCCAATTGTAGTTCTTGTTAAGGGTAACTCCCAGGTAATTAGCTTTATCAACTGTAGGGATGATTTTGCCAAAAAGTTTAACCTCAGTTCTGACCCGTTTCCTCTGTCTGCGATTTCGAATGAGTAGAATCTTGGACTTTTCTGGCTGAATGCACGTTTTCCAGCGACTGCACCACCCCTCAATAGCAGGGATTTTCGCCTGAATTCTTGACAAGGCATACTCTGGGTTTAGAGACTTGGTGGCTATCGCTGTATCATCAGCGTAGCTGGCTGCGAGAACATTTGTATCCTCGGAAAAGCAAGGGAAATCGTTGGTATAGATGATGTAAAAAAGCGGGCCTAAAATTGACCCTTGAGGAATACCTGCGTAAATATTTTTGACACATGAAGTTGCATTTCCAACTCCAACGGTGCAAGTTCTATTTTCAAGGAAGGACTTGATAATGAGTATCAGATTTCTGGGGAAACCGAGATGAATTAGCTTATAGATTAGCCCTGGATGCCAGACGCGGTCAAAAGCCTTTGCCACGTCTAGCATCAGGATAGCAACACTCATTCTGTTGTGCATAGCCGCGCGCGATGAACTCCGTGAGCCTGACTAACTGCGTTGTGGTCGAAAGTCCTTTCCGGAAACCGTGCTGGTGATCAACGAGAAAGTCCAAGTTTTCTTGCATTCTGAGATAAATAATACGTTCCAGGATCTTGCTTATGGAGGACAGCAGGCTGATGGGTCTAAAGTTTGCCGGGTAATCCTGTGTTTTCCCTGGCTTAGGAATCATCAGGATGCTTGCTTGCTTCCAGAAAAGCGGGAAATAATTTTGATACAAACATGCATTGAGAATGCCTGTTAATTTGCATACGGTCTTAAAAGGCATGTTTTTCAGCATCTGGTTCGTGATCTTGTCCTTTCCTGGAGCTTTCTTTAATTTAAGTCCCTTAATAATGTTCTGCACTTCGTGCGGCGTGGTTAGTTTGATAGAAGGTTCCGTAGAAGGGGAGTGCAGCCATTGATCGTTAAGGTAATGAACTTGAATGTCCGAACTATGATCTGAGGGGAAGGAATTTGGAATGAACTGTTTAGAAAGGTGTTCCGCAAAAAGTTCCGCTTTGTCTTGATCGGAGTAAGCAAATCCGTTATCGCATTTAAGCGGTTTTCTGGCAGAGCAGGGGCGTTTTAGTGTCCTTGTATGACGCCAGATGGCGCCAGGTTCGTCGTTGATCTTTTCCATCTTATCCTGCCATAAGCTAGAACGATGGTCCTGAATCTTTTGCTTGATTTTCCTATTAAGCCTGTTAATTTGAGTTTTGATAGCAGGATCCCAGGTGAGATTAAATTCCTTTCGGAGATGATTTCGAAAGCAGATTATTTCGCGAATATTGGCAGGAAGCGTGTGCTCATGTCTGACACGGTCAACCTCAGTCGTAGCTAGGGACTTAGCAGAATGCAGGTACGAAGTAAAGTCTGTTATAGCACGTTCAATATCCGAAGTGCTTTGTAACGAGTCACAATTAAAATCAGTGGTCATCAAAGTATTATGATAAAGATTCCAATCAGTATGCTTAATTGGCGGTAGGTTCTTAGCATTTTCCACTCCAAGGTAAGCAAGCACAGGTACATGATCAGAAGACATGTCACATGTTACCGTAATAGCCATAGGAATATTGAACGTCGTCGTAATAAAAATATCCAGAATGTCAGGCCGATGGTTGAGTATATTTGGCCTATAGGTAGGCTCATCCGGCACATGCAGAAAGACAGGGTAATTACACACAAAATCATGCACTATGCGTCCATTATAATTCGAGTTGCGGCATCCCCAGTCGAGATGCTTGGCGTTTAAATCGCCACCT